CAGACAAAAAATGAATATCGCTAAAGGGGGCATCTGTCTGGCCTCAAATAACACCTCGCACTCGCCCCTTGGGGGTGGGGAGGGAGGCAACTTTGAAATATAAACGATAACCCTCATTTTTATTGCATATTTGGATTTTACACTAAAAATACAAAAGTTTTCTCTAAAACGTTTTTGTGGGTTCGTGACAGATGGCGCTGTAATTTCGAAAATAAGATTTTTTTTTATAATTCTAGAGAAATAACACTTTTGTTTGAAAAATAAAGAAACGCCTGTTCAATAATTCTGTTCTCTGGATACTTTTTTACATAATCCCAAACCCCCACACCTAGAAGGTAGGATGGATAGTAACTTTCAAGCCTCAAACGGGAACCCCCTATTTTTTACGTTAATGAATTACATTTAACGTGGTTTGTTCATAGGTGATAGCTTTGAAATGTTTTCAACAAACTACTTTTAGCAACACCCAGGAACAACGACATGGACCTAGTAGTTTTTGTTCCCTTCGGGGTGATTGTTTTGGGTGAATATCCTCGCCTCTCACCATCGTGGTGCAAGTAAAAAAAAATCTATGCTAACTAATCAAGAATAAAAAACCTACATGTTGAATCTAACTCTTTAATGGAAAAATGGGGGTTTCCATTTGATACTTGAAAGTTACCTCCCAACCCCCGGGGATCGGATGAGGATGAGGCTTAACTTATACGAACTTACAATAACTCATAATTAGACAAGATATTTAAGAAAATCATTGAACAGGTGTTTCTTTCTTTGTCGATCCAAAGTATATTACTCGAGAATTGCAAAAAAAAATTAATAAATAAGTAAAAAAATTGAGATTACAGCACCATCTATCAGAAATAAGAAAAAAGTTTTAGACAAAAGTTTTTTTACGTTAAGGAATTAAATTTAACGTGAAGGTTGTTCATAGGTGATAGCTTTGAAATGACACGTAGGGCGCGAGCGCGAGATTTGATTGTAGGTGAGGTAGATGTATCCTTGAAGATATTCATTTTTTTTGTGAGAAATGTTTTCGTACGATGCGTAGTTTTCAAGTTATTTCGATTTGTCAGGTTAAATGAGATACCCGGTATTGTAAATTACATCCTCTAACACGTTGTGTAGTCAGAATCATTGTTTTGTGGTTTCTTGATATCGAAACCTTGATTGACAGCAAAACATATGTCGATCTGTAAGCAATGCTAGCGGCTAAACCGTAAGCATAGTTTCATCAAAATTAATATTACCCAATCGATGTGACTGATGTCATGGCAGCTTGAATTTGAAACTGATATTTTAATTTTGAATAGTACTTTACATGAAGTTCCCAAGACATGGTGTAATTGCACTTCTTACAGTTACATCATTTCCAACAATGAGACGTAATTCAGAGAAATTCTGCTGCTGAATCGCGGCGGGAAATAGAATTGTTGCATTCCAATCTGACATTCTCTGAAGGCTAGCAATTTTTATTTCATATATTTCAAAAAGGTTTTAAATATTTTTTTAAAGATTATGTGTAAATGCATATCAGTAGGTCGAATGTAAGAAACAAACGAAATGTGAAGTAATATATCATTTCCAACTTACGTAGCATTCAAATGCCTCGAATTACGTTCACGAAGCGCAGTAAATTCGAATAGGGCGATTATCTTTGGCGCGAAATTACGCAAAAAATACTCATATTTTCAAAAAATTCAACATAACTTTATTTGAAATTCTGTTTTTGATAAAAACATTTCATTAAGAAAAAATGTATCTTCAACATTTTTTTAGTCATAGAAAGAAAGAAATTTTAATTTTTTTAACTTTTCAACAAACATTAGACCTGTACCATTTTATTAAGCGTTCTATGCGCTATCTAAGGTCTAATTTACAGGTAACAATTTTGTGCGGTTTTTAAGAAATAGATTTAAAGGAAATAAACATTGCCTATGTTTGACACAAAATTTCGCAAAAAGTACTCATATATTTGAAAAATGGAATATGATATTATTTTTAATCGTTTTACAAGCACATATTCATTAATAAAAAATATCTTCATAATTGTAATTGTAGGAAGACGCCGAATAAATTTTGAATTTTTTCAATTTTGAAACATCAGGTATTTCTACGAACATGAGACCGCCATTCTCTGAAACGTCCTTCTCCCAGGCGCTTCGAGAACGCCCAAGATTAAAATTCAATTTCAATGATTTAAAATTCAATTTTGGTTTCAAATTCAATTGCACGCACACTGGTTCAATCGGGTCTAAAACTGGCAGTAATTGCAAATGCCAATGGATTTGCGTAGAAACAGTTATCATGGGGTTTTTGAGATCGCTGAATTCGAATATCTTTACGAAATTTCAAAATTCAAAACGATAGATCGACTCTTTTAAAAACGAACAAAAATGCATTGAAAATATACATATAGGGTATTGGAGGTCATTGATTTCGAATATCGTAATGAAATTTTAAAATTCAAAATAGCGGCTTCAAAATAGCTAATTGACCCCCAAAAATTGAATCCGATATGAGAAGAAATATGTACACAATGGTTCTCAAGGTCGTTGTTTTACATATGGAAATGAAATATCAAAATTCAAAATTGAAACTTGAAAATGAAGCGTTGAAAATGTTTAGTAATATTTTCGACGTCACTGAATACAAATATTGCAATGCAATTCAAAACAGCTGCTTTAAAGGAAGATTGTGTGCTTGATTGAGTTCCGCAAATTAAAAAGCCATTGACACTACTTGGAATTTTTGCAAGGAACAAAGCTTAATACCGGAAGAAGGTTGCGTTATCAAGCCTTAAAAAGAAGCGAGTGTATACAAGTCTCCACAGGCGTGTTGGGTATATATGTTGAATTTTGTTGTCCACAAATATACGGAATTATTAGTGAAAAAAATCACTATTGATTGTACAGAATGGCACAGTCTCTCTCGTATTTGTTAGATTGATTGTCTCTTATGAGTTGGGATTCTCTTAATTTTTGTTCCACCTTCTCAGCTGCCATCTATTTGCTCCCAAAACACATTTTTTACGTTATCTCAATTTTTACAGTCTCCAATAGAATTTTTAAGAATAGTAATATTACAGAAGGGTAAAAACTGTTCCTAAATACACATGTTCAATGAGAAATTTAGACATTTTTATTTAAATATAGTTTTAGCGTTTCTAAAAATGAGTATTTTGAAGCATATTTTCACACAAAACTTGAGATTTTGTACTTACAAATGCCATAATGTGTATGAAATGTCCGTAATGCAAATACAGACATCATGGGAGACATTTAAAAAAATACTTTGTTAAATTTTTGGAAAATTAAAGAATACACCGAAGCGGCATTAATGTCAAGTTATTCAGATCATTTTGCACCGTCCGTACAATGGGTGTAAAGAAAAATCGGAAGCACAGTTGGAGAAAATGGCACTTGAGTGAATCTGAAAATGCGCCATTTCGAGCTATATACGTATGTAGTATTATAAAAATATGTTAGATACAATATTGTACGCTATATTATTCAAACAATTATCATCCATCTGTCGGGAATAAATGCTGTACAGACCAAATGTCGTCGACATTTATTTATAGAGAAATCTTAAATGCGAATGAAAAAAATGAAATGAAAATGGCCAAGTGTAGTTTGAGATAACCTCATTGAATTCACTTATATACTCAAAGAACCCATAGTCTTGGTTGCTACGACAAGAAAATAATCTTTAAAGTACATTAAAAATCTTAAAGTGCTGTGAGTAGCATGGGTTATTATTGTTCAATCATTCCAAAATTTTATATCAGTAATGTTTGTTTGTGGAGCTGACGTATTTTTCTCCAATGTCTTCCGAACGAGAGATTTGATAACTCAGAATTCCAAACGCACACTTTGAATTTTGCAATTATGGCCAGGTGTTTTTCCCGATTAAACCTGTATGGGCCTCGATATCAGCCAGATCGATTAAGGAATATGAATTTTGAAGACAATCGGTTAGCGTAGCTAGCGGATAAAGGACAGACGGACGTATATACAGACAGAAGTTTTACCGTCAATCGATCTTTCGGTATGAAGGATCCACAAAGCATGGATTCTGGCTACACCACACGTTAGAAGAATTTCCCTAAATTTAGCATTTATCCATTTTTTCCTTACCAGGGTCCTGTAATAAAGAATTTTTTCGACGAAAATTTTTCTGCTCGAAAATGACTTTTCTTCGAGCAGCATTAAATAACTATCTCTTTTTGGCTGGCGGTGGCGGTTGCAAGAAAATAAAAATGCTAGTTGGACGCACTTTTGTTGATTTATGTAGTGGAATAATATTGTGAATCTATTGTAAATAATGCGAGAAAGTGTGATTTTGTAGCATCACTAACACACTCGCTAATCTTTGCATTTAAAGATATTCAATTTTCGAACTTAGAATGATCTTTATCGCTTTGTCTTCTTTTCCCACCTCTGCTTTTGATTAATCAATTACAACTCGCACAACAAAACGGCAAAGGCCAACTACATTCCATCTCCTCTATGTAGTTTGCTTTGAATAAGATATTACAATTAGCGTCAGGTTAGCGTTTACTGTATTAATTTTAAGGAATTATTAAAGTTTGGTTTTTAAACTATAAAATCTGTTAATAAGAACAAGTGTAAACAGTACTCTGCCCTACTATGTACTGTTCATTTAAAGAAAAATTAAGAAATTTGGTTGGGTAGAAAAATGTACCCTTACAAAACTTAATCGCAAAAATTATTTATTTCTCAAAATGTTTTCGTAATTATTTTATTACTATAATTCGAAATTGTCTAAATTTATTTTCTTTGGTTGTAAATGTTCTATAAATTTGATATTAGGCTTTGTATTAGACTTTTTATTGGACATTTCACATTCTTATATTCTTATAATTTTCACCTTTGATATTTATACAATATTTTGCCATTTCACGACTACTTTTTCCGGTCTCAACTTTTTACAATAGATTAATGAATGTTCTTACATCAGTTTAATTGATTTTGTTTCAGAATCAATTGGCGCTACCCTCTCCAACTCAAGAACGAATCTTATCAAGTTTATGAAGAAAACACCAACTGGTTGCCATATGAAACAATTGTAACTATTATCAATAAACAATATTTTTATTTTTGAGAAATTATTAAAACTCTTGATTAAAAAATTGTTTTTTAAGCAACAATGATCCATAGCAGCAGAATAAAGGATTTAAATACCCCAAAACATTCGGAATTTACTTTTTATTTTATTTTGTTACAGTCTCAATAAGATGTAACTTTTGAGCCAGAATACCTACATTTGTAGTTTAAAAGTCAAATGAAATATGTAAAATAATTAGTGCACAATTATTGAAAATATTCATTGCGAATAATACCACATTAGTCTTATTGTAGATGGAAGGACCCATTTATTACATTCTCGTATACGTACGTAGTATACAGAAAAGTTATATAATGCTGCGGAAAATAGATTTCAGGATTTCAACGTAAATACACGTTGTGGGATCCTCTGATACCGAAAAAGTGTTTTTTTCAAAATATCCGTCCGTCCGTCTGGCTCGAATCGAAGCTTTGAGATTTTAAAAAACATTCTTCAAAGTTTGGCGGTACTTTACATGAAGCCCATGGGACATTTTCAATATTTTATCAAAACGGCTCCAAATTTTTTCTTTAAATTTCTTGTAAGAATAGAGTAAAATACACTTATAAAGATGGCATAGGTTCTTTGTTCAGTGTTTTCTATGAATTTTCGAAAATTTCAAAAGGAATAATTTCCTGCGTCTTCCTACAATTACAAAATTAAAGATAGAGGTTTTTCCTTCAAATGAAATTTATTGTTCATAATCATGTCTTTAAGTAAGTTCATGTATATTTTTTGAAAATTTTAGTAGTTTTCCAATAATATTGCATGCAATATTGCACATTTTAAAAAACAACAAAAACAAAATTTTCTCTAAACCGCTCCAAATTTTTTTCTTCAAAACGTTGGTAGGGATAGTGATAAATGTGTTTTACAAGACGACACATACAACATTTTGCGATATTCTTTAGTTTTTGCAAAAATTACAAATTTGTATTTTTTTGACAATTCTCTCACGTTTATATTTACATTAGCGACGATTTGTTCACATTGTATTTACGAGTACATTTACTTTAAATGATCTCTAATAAAGGTTCTTGAAAACTCAATAGTTTTCTGTGAATACGAGCTCACAATTTCACATTTTCAGAGACGCTCAAACGCTATTTTTTCCAAAACACCTCCAAATTTTTTCTACAAACTTTTCGTACGCATACTGCTAATTGAACTGTTTAAGAGGACATAAAGTCATTTTGCTGTTTTTTTAAATACACTCGAACATGGAAGATTTTTGAAACATCTCTCACCCCGTTAATATGCGGGGACATATCTTTATAATATTGTATATAGCTCGAAACTGCGCATTTTCACAAACACTCAAGTGTCATTTTCTCCAACGATGCTTCAGATTTTTCTTTACAAGTTTTGTACGGATGATGCAGAGTGTTCTGAATAACATGGCATTAATGCCACTTCGGTGTATGCCTTAATTTTTCCAAAAATTATAAACATTTTTTTATGTCTCCCATGATCTCTGTATTTGGATTACGGACATTTCATATACATTATGGCATTTGTAAGTTCAATAGCCTCAAATCTTTTTTTATGAAACTTCTAAAAAAAATCTTGAAAAAATTGGAAAAAAGTTTTGGAATAACATTTCCAGCGATTTGTATACATTATTGCTTTTGTGGAAGTAGAAGTGTAAGTGATTGAAACGGCTTCAACTAAAGTTTTTCGAAAAAATTCTGTGAAAAAGAGCTTCAAATTTCTCATTTACACTAGAACTAAAACGATTTTCTTAAAAATGGCTGCAAATTTTTCAACGAAAATTTCTATATATGACGAGATTTTACTCTTGTTTAATATTTTTATAATAATATTTCAAGTATACTATTAGGAAATCGAAACACTGAGAAAACTCGCGGCGATAGTTGGCAGCTGACAAGAGTATGTGGAAAAACCGTAAAGCAGGCCTATACCAACGAAATTGTTTTGTTGTGTATGTACCACCTGTACCACCACTAGTTTTGTTAAGGCTTTATTTTATTTTTTTAAAGTTATATATTATGTGCACAAGTTTTCACCCACAAAGAGTACCCTTTCTAAACTAGTGGCGCTAGAACAGCACTTTTTTCTCGTATTGTTTGTAACTTACGTAATATTGCTATAATTTCAATACGCAAATGAGTTTCCAACCCGAAATTAAAATTTGGCAGCTCTACGATGTGACTAATTTATTTATATTTTGGCAATACGACTTAATTGATTATTTCGTGTTGGCGGGCGCGCCAACTGATATGTTCGCTGGTCTCGTAAGCGATGTTCAAGTTTTATTTGTTTTCCTGCTGGATGGAGAATCAGGAGCCAATCTCCACGACGGCTTGCGGCGTTTCCACTTCAAGGTATCTCCTCCGAGCGGAAACCAACCCAGCCGGGGGAAGCTCCACGCTGTAACGTAAGTTGACGTGCAGCTCTCTGGCGGATCTCCCGTGTAGCGGGCGAAGAACAACGCCATCTCGAGGATATATCGTGCACTACACTGCAGGGCGGTGGCGCAGATACAGCGTGGAGGTGTGGCAGTACGCCCCAGGTGACGCAATTTTAGGGGTGACACCAATTACAAAAAATATTTGGAATTATATAATTTTAATGATTTACTTAAATGTTATGTATATATAATTTATATTATTTTATAGTTATAAAATTTAATAGTTATACATTTAAATCAAAAATACTCAGAAAGCAAATAAAATTAATGTACACTAAAACGCAAAAATATAAGCGGTAACCCCCTATTCTTCAATGATTACTTTTATTTATTTTAAATTTAGGAGGGTAGTTCCATTAGTTTTGTCCCGGATAACAATTGAAGGGACTGCTACAGGAGCCAGTGCAGTTAATTAAAGGAACTGCAAAATCAGTCGGATGGATTGAGGAATATCAATTTTGGATCAAATTGGCTGAACGGTTTAGCAGCTAGCGTTGTTCACAGATGAACGGTCGGACGAACAGAGTGACTTCAGCTATCATTCGATTTTTCAGTATCGAAGACACACAAAACGGATTCTGGCTAAACCACGTGTTAGGGAATTGCTTTTCTTCTAAATTTAGCAACTGAATCTATCCACTTTTTCGTTACGAGTGTCCGGCAATAAGAATTTTTCTGCCGATATTTCTCGCAGCATTTCATAACTTTCTGTCTACTGTCGGGAGCGGATCCAGATACAGATTTTGAGAGTGGAAATTAAAAATGGTTGGTCGAATGTGCCATTATAGATTTTGTAAAATGTCGCAGGCAACACTCAGCTCATGCTGCGAAACGATTTTATTCGTTCTAATGATTATCCTTTGAAAGAAAAGAGAAAAATTTAGCGTGGGGATTCCCCTTTCCATGGATCGGCGCCTACTACTATGTGGCCACAAAGTAAAAGTCACAGAGCACCCAAGAACTCTTTCGCCTGTGGCAAAATCGTGCGTCGCTGCGTCCTTCAAAGGCCCGCCCGGCCGCGCGGCGCGCACGCCAGCGCCACGCAGCGGTAGGCTTCGCAACTACGTGTCCGCGCGTGCCTGCCTGCGGGCGGGCGCTAGTGAAAGTTGCGTGCCCGCGGCGAGCGGCGGTGTGTGTCAGCTGGTGTGCGCTGCGCGGGGCATGGCTGCGAGTCTGCGCGTTGGTGCGGTGTCCGACGGTTCAGTAGCGCCTCCTCCGAGCCCCGGCATGCGCCACCAGCAGGCAGCCGCGACGTCGTCCACGGCGACCGGATCGGAGCGGGCACGCCAGCCCTCCGCGCCGCCCAGAGAGCTGCTCTTCAAGTTTCTGGTCATCGGGGACTACGGAGTGGGTGAGCGCACGCCTTTTGTTTTGTGCGGGCGACGGGAGTGTTGGTTATTCCGACGGCGCGCCGTGCCTACGTGATCAGACGTCTGTGAATGTTGTAAGGTGTAGTCACGTGGTTGCCGCGCTTGAGATTTGTTTGCGAAATTTCTGTCCTCGTTTGTTTTGTTGCGTTGTTTTAATGGTGTTCACTGGCACAGAGTTCCTCTGCAAACAATGCCGTTGTAATAATGAAGGGAACATTTTATTGTTAGCCCTACGCAAAACCACACGTACAGAAACCATATCCTGAGTCGTAGTCAGGATTTTGTTTTGGAGGAGCTGTCAAATGGAAGTCGGACATTGAAGGCAGCCGTAGTGACATATATCGTGACACCTGGTTGCGATAGTTTGGCACAGTTTCTTTTCAATACGATGTGAAGTGCCTCGAAATACAATAAACCATCGTTAACAAGAATTCCAAGGGACCGAAATAAACAGAGTTCCTATTATTAAAAAAATGTGTTATGCGAGTATTATAAATATTCGTATTAGTAACCCCTTGCCGGGACCGAAGTTTTGATCGTGTTTCGTCAAAATTCGTGTTAAGCAAGCTAGTGCAAACGAGGGTTTACTGTAAATTATTGTTGTTGTTGTTGTTGGTATTATTATTATTATTATTATTATTATTTAAGGTCGCATCAACATTTAGGTCATTAGCGACCACTATTGCGCGTAACGGTATGGTAACTGTGAGAATGACACGATATAACGATGATAGGGGGTGAAAAGACAAACACAATACAACCATGCCCGAGGCGGGATTTGAATCCGCGATTTTTCGGTCCCAGATCACTACGGCACTACTGTTTTAGCGATCTCGGCCATTCGGACCGGAAAATTATTTTTTGTAGCGTTCAAAATGTAACATTAAAATTCATTTGTCTAAAATTTGCGACTGTCAAACGGCATAAACATAGTTATTGGACAACAATCCAAGAAGTAATGTTTGTTTGATTTCGGGAGATTTTGTAATTTCTTGCTCACCCTTTGACTCACTCATACAACACCACCGTGAAAATAATGAAATTAACAATACGTGAAGGAAAATAATGCTAATTTCACTTTTGAGTGTTAAAAATGAAAATTGTGTCATTGGAGTTTTCCTACCAAATGTCAGTAGAGTATGTCGCAGCTGGGACATAATAACATCAGCTTTAGCAAGAGTTCGCTACTGTGCTATATTATTACTGAATTTGTCACTTTTACATCAGTTACTCGTGACATTATCGTACATTTTCGTTCCACAATCTTTGATTTCCTCAACGTGTTATTTACATATTTTTTATACGAGTTTAGAGATTGTGAACTTTGGTGTTATCGAGTTATGATATTGACATAGGAATCATATTTATATATGGGAATTATTGTAAATATATATGAAATGGAAATTTATTGTAAACTGAATTCGTACATAAATGACGAAGCACCAACTTCCTGCACCTCCGTTAAGATAGAGCTGTAATGTATGCTTGTATTATCGGTAAACTAAAGTAGTCTGGTTTGGTAATTCCTCTGAGAAACACAACATTTGGCATAGTGTTATTAACTTTTTTCGGTGTTTTATGGCCGTAGTCTTAAAGATAGAATGGTTTTACTACGCTTCTCACGGTATGGCATATTCGATTTTCTAAGGAGCTCAGTACATAGACAAAGAAAACGGTTCATTGAGACTTGTACTCCTTGTTCTTTGAGACTTAAATTTCCTTAAAAATGTATTATTCATCTGTTATTCACTATAATATAATTCCTAAATGGAAAAGGAGAAACATAAGTGTAACCTATAATGAGACGAATCGACCAATCCACGTTCGTGTTTGTCAGCGACGTGATGTTTGGGAACATTCTCAATGGGATCTTATGATTTACACAAATGTGAACATAAATATTGCCATATAAATTTAGCAAATTCAGACGCGCAATAAACAAATGTTGGTGGTAATTTACTTTGTGAATTATCACAACGTTCACAATATCTAAAAACCTAAAACCACTAGATCAAAGTGGACAGAAATTTTGGAGTGAGCTGCGCAAACATAATATTAGCTTGAGTACCAGTGACAACAAAAATATTTATTGGCAGCCTAATATAAGCAGTTACTTTACATGAATTCAGAGCGTGTTAAAAGTTTAAAATAAAATGTCGCTCTTACCACTTACTGTAAATTTACACACCATGTAATTTAAATTAACCTGTTGGCGGTTTTTGAAGTTATAATTTCACCTTACCGTGAATTAATATTTCAAACCTATAATGCAGTACAAACTTAGATTTTTTCGCTTATAGGCAAACTTTGACCACGCGTGTATCCTGCTTCAGCATGTGCCCTGTGCCTGAGGTAGGATGCGAACCTGCGTTCTTCTGGTCCAAGATTGCTACGGCACCACTGCCCTAACACTCGCGATCATCTTGACGGGCTTACACACTTAGATATGTAGTGAGACATGAACAATTGCCTTAACGTCTAAAATTTCTTATGAATTTTAGAGAATTGCTCGAGTTTTATCAGGAAATATTTTTAGTTTTTTTGGTTGTATTGTCTATGAGATTATCGGTGATAAATGCATGCTTATTTCTGTATTTTTAATCATAGAAATTCGCCCTATGGTAATCATATCAAGGACTTGGGACCCTAACAAGATAAACCATAGAAGTCTTTCGCTATTTGTAAATATTAATATCTCGATTGTGGTGAGAATGAGGCCTGTGTTGTTACTGCATACAGTGACTCACGAAATTGGCCATAGTCATGATATATTACAGTTTAATACTTTGAACATTTCACTAAACTGTGAAATATGTTTTAACTCATTTGAAATTGAATAAAAAATAACATTTATTATAGACATGTGGTATTTTCTGCGACAAAAAGTAATCATTCTGTACGTTATTTTAAATAAAATACCATTTAAACAAATATGTATGAAATAAAATATAATGAAACGATTCCGTTACGAAAGATGATTAGAAAACCACTGTTCGAAGACGCAAAGCCCATGCAACCGTGCTAAACAGGAAGGTGCGACGTGGCCACATGACTGGAGTAAACCAATTCTCCCGAAGGAAATTGTATCGACTCTCAGCAGAATTACCTCATTCTGGAGGCCTTTAAAAAAATGCGGGATTTCATGAACGTCTGGCTTGAAAAAAGGCATAGATTAGTCGGGGAATTCGGAGAAAGATATTCACCTTTGTTCGAAAGCATAACAATTACCATCTATATCTGGAAATTTGTCATCTTTAGTGATAATAAATACAATCTTAATGGACGAATGGGGGGGAAGTTTGTATTGCATACGCGAAATAAGGAATATGGCAGGCTGAATAGAGCACTTTGAGTGTAATGAAAACTACAGCTTTTTAAAAAGAACTTTCCTCTTAATTTTACACTAACATAAAGGACAAATTCATCAATCATCTCATCATGCAGTAGCAAGATGTGAAACACTTACCTAGTTACCGCTGCAAGCCCGCATGTGTTGTATTCGTTCTTATACACCTGTAGCAACTCATTGGTGCCATTGCTGCGATTTCTGCGTGCGTGGGTTGCAGTGATATTCGAATTCAGTTTCTCGCGCTCATATTTTATAGCGCTCGCATGTTCATAAGAGCGGGCCATGTCAGTAGGCGCAGGCGTATGTCCTTGAGACAGGCTCAGCCAGGCATGTCAAGGACGCGGGCAACGTGACTAAAGCGCGTCCGAGGTTAAGAGAGAAGCACAGGGCCTTATGGACTGTTCCAGTAAATTAACATACCCCCCGTTTTTTAGATTTCAAAACGGATTTAAACCCTCATTAACGCAATTTTTCATCACAACAATTACATTAGTAAAATAATACCTACAATACATTACGTATTAACACAAATCGTGGTGAATATCTTTAGAATTTATAATTTTGTGAAGGAAAGGATACGTTCGGCTTTTGGATCAGCTACAGCTTCGGTGTCACGTGCGTCTGTTGCCGTACCATATTGTGCTCAGAAAGTTCCGATTGTTTACATGTGTTTGTTCGTCTGTGTAGAGTTGTTTTGTTTTTGAGATTTATGGTTTTAATCGCGTAAAGTGAAATGTGATGTCGTTTACTTTTCGTCATTTTGACTTGTAAGTTGTGGTAAGTTTATAAATTTACATTACAAAAAAATTAATTTCCTTTATTTTGCACACTTAATTTAGAATGTACAATTCACCAAGCGTAAAGAGCAAGCGTGGTAAAGTGCTCTACAGTCGAAATAAACCAATGGTAATGAATGGTTATTACAATTTAACTATAATAATATTTTCCAATAATAATAATATTTTCCTATAATTTATATTGTCCGCTCATCTGGCGCGAGGCAGCTCAGTTTTCCGTGAATCAAATCAGTTTGTTCCCGTGGGGCCGACTTCTTTTGTCATCGAAGGAAATTTCAATATTTTCTTCGGTAATCAAAACGTATTATTTATCTCCTGGTAAAAAGGAAACACGAAGCTTGGCCTTTTTGAAACTGCATGTTGTTGGTTTCAATTTTGGATATTGTATTGAAATAGTGGTGCACTTTAAAATTAAATTTTTTTATGACATTTCGAAGCACAAAGGACGTGAGAGGCCTTACAGAAACGTTCCTGTGTATTGGAATCTCTTAGGAATAGCTTAAAATGGGAGGAAAGGGAGGAAAATACGATTTCAGAAAATTGGAAAAGTTCGAGATAAAATACACGAGCGCTAAAGTAGCAGAGACCGTACTTCATTCTTAACCTCGGACGCACCATAGCTTAGCGAGCGCCGCATCTAGGGTATTGGCGGGAGGTTTAAAAGTAAGGGTTGTACAAATTTCTCAGGGGTGGCGGTACATCACTGGAATCCTGGACGGTGACAGTCTTTTGGAGAAGTTATTTGACAGTTACTGTCTCAAATTTAGTGATATTAATTTTAATTTATAATTTTGTAAATGAAATACGTCACTAAAAACATATCGGTTGCGAATAA